TCGGTGGGAGCCTTAAGCTCTGTAAAATGGAATTGGTGGATGCCGCTAAGTTCATTTTGGTCGGTGGGAGCCTTAAGCTCTGTAAAATGGAATTGGTAGATGCCGCTCAGTTCATTTTGGTCGGTGGGAGCCTTAAGCTCTGTAAAATGGAATTTGTGGATGCCCGCTTTTTGAGGCAGGCCATGCAGTGCCATGGGGGTTTCATTTGTTACGGTCTTGGCAGATCAGGAGCATCATGAGACAAACTTGATTTTGTTCTTGCCGCAGCTCTAAAGCCTTGAGCCATAGAACTTGGATGTGCAAACCTGAGACTTGAGACCTTTTTGAAGCAAGCAGGTCCAGGTGCAGGCACCCTTTTTCAACTTGTCAACTTGATTTACTTTGGTCTCTTTAGTTCTTTTGAGCAACTACCACGAGCTTCTTGGAAAAGTCCGGCATTAAACCAAACAGACAACTGATCCAGATCCAGCCTTTCCATCAAACAGTACACGCTTCCTCGGGGCAATGAAGATCGAATGACTGCCGCCATTTTAAGCTATGGCGAGTGTGTTGTCCTCAGAACATCGACGGCCGTACTTAATGAAGTGGCAATCATACGTATGATCTCCGGGCATCTCCGGTCAATCTTTGATCCATATGATCCGTGCGCGTCATGTTCAAGGTTTGGGCCCTGGATCGCGCGGTGGATGTCACAGAGGAGCTGCATGCGCGGAAGGCTGATTGGTCCCTGAGTTTTTGTGTGTTTCTTTGTCTACTTTGTCGTTTTTTTGTTTGTTTCTTCAGACTAGACCTTTGGACACCTGTTCTTTCCTTCTTTTCCCTTTCTTGTGGTTCAGTGAACTAAAACGAACAGTTCGCTTCTCAAATCTCTCGAACATTCTCGAACATGGTTTTCCTCTTTGCTGACGAACCAAATGCATCAACAAGGGACAGGGAAAGATAATGAAAGATATATGGGAAGATGTTAAACGGTAACGGCACTTAGAATATGCCGTGGCTTCCGACGCACCTCTCTCTCTCTCTATTATTCTATTGCAAACAAGAGCCCGATGCCTTTGCAATGATGAAGATGAACCACATTTCCGCGCCTCTCTCTCTCTTTGGCACAAGGAATTGGGGTCAGTAGGATGTGCAGAGACGAACTGGTGTCCCAAGAAGACTGACCAATGTTTAGGCAGTCAAAGTGTTTTGGTTTTCTAGCACAGCAGACTGAGCCCGCAGCAAATTGAGCTTTTACTCACTCATTCAGGTAGCATCACTGCTGAACTCGCAAAACAGGCCGGGATCCCCCAATTCTGCGCCTTTTGTTGGACTTGGAGTTGAATAATTGCCACCTTGTATATAACTTTGGACACTCATAGAGGCTTGTATATATATATATATTATTTGTTTTTCAACTATTTACTCCGTATCTCTTTTGCAGGCACTAAGTTTTGAATTGCAAAGGCAGAACAATGATTACACATGCGCATGAGCAGATTCGTTTCTACCATGCAAGAAACCTGACCAAAGTAGCTCTTGCCACACTTGTGAATGATGAAAACTGATGACGCTGATGGAACTCACCACAGCCTGGGGATGTCCTCCACCCTTTAAGATCTTTAAGTCCCAATACCGGAACTGCTTTTTGCAAAAGGAGCACTTCAATCCATTCCATTCCATGTGGAAGACCCTTTAAGAATACCCATTAAAACCATATTAAAATCCATGTGAAAGACCCATTAGAAGAGCTGAGCCGCTCAGGCTTCGCTGTGCCAACGCGGCGCTCAAGCGCGACGACCTGGCACGGAAAGAGGCGTCCAGCGGCCGAGGCGGAGAACTTGGTGCTTTTCAACATGTGAATTCTTCTAGTAAGTAGCTTCTTGTTACTAGTAGTAAGAATGCTCCTAGTAGCGATGCCAGGAGCCCCTAGTAGCGTCCTTGCTCCCAGTATTTAACATATTTATGTATCTTGTATTCTATTCTTTTAAGGCCGGAGGCCGCGCCTCTCTACTTAATTAAGTAGGCACCTACATATTTGACCAAAGGAGTAAGCTACTAGTTCGCTACTAGCTACTGGACGCAGGACAGCTCACGCTGATTTGATTCCTAGATTCTTATGGAGACTGTGCTTTGCACCAAGGGGTAGTAGTGACATTGGTTCTAGAGTTCAATTTGAGGTGATGTATTATCACACCGTATTTGTATCTCTAAACTCCTCTAAAGCAGGAAGCGCGCAGCGGCACATCACATCAAAAAGGGCATGTGTGAGCCTCTCGCATGCGAGGTGCCGCCTTGGCCCGGGCAGAGCAGGAGCTGCTTCAGCAGGACAGGAGTTTGGACATCACAGTGGATGGATTCCTTGTTACGTTGTGGCATTGAAACATCAATCGCGTGCATAGACCTTTCATAGGGAACCCTTGAAAACTCTTAGTGCAGATCTCCAATGGTCCAATGGTGTTCCCATTGGGCAGTTTCCAGCAAATAACTCGGTTGGGAGAAGCTGAGCATCATTGCTCGGTTCAGGCCATGTTGCAGATTTAAATCGTGCAAGGATGCCGTGCTTCGGGCTTTCTACAACTACCTGGGCAAGGACGGTGAGAGAAAGTACGAATTGAATGGTATTGAGATTGCTCACGTGTCTTTTGACACGAATGACCTGCCACTTGAACCAGCTCAAGATAGTTCAAGCCACAGAAGCCAAGCAGTAAACAGAAAGACTCTGACTATTCGACCCAGCTAGGACCCTCAAGCCTTGCTCCATCCAACTTTGGACCTAGCTAGTAGCAGCTAGTAGAGCATCTCATTGACTCATTCAGCAGTTGTTTTGCACAACATGTCACTCGTGCAGATATGTGAAGATAACACAGGCCTTTGAGGCATTTGACCTTCCCAGATGGCCTTCTGCTTCGATGAACGCCAGCGATATCCCCTGCCGGGTGCTCCTGAGCCAATGGCAGGTGAAACAGGCAAGGTCCCACATGGTGAAATAACCTGAGTTGGGGCATTTCACTTTTGACCTTGGCACCCAAACTGCCAGCATAGTTCATTTTTAAGCATTTTTATGCCTTTTTCTGTCAGGTGCTGGGCGACAAGGGCGAGGAGAACCTGAAGCGGCTGCGAATGACCAGCGGTGCCAATGTGCAGCTGCTTCGAGGACTGGTTACGGTTACGGAGAGTGTGATCAATAAGAAACCACTGATTGATCAAGGACAATGCTACAAGACAGTCTAAGGATGTCTAATGCTTCCCAACAATCAGACACATCCCACTATAAATCCATTATATTAGGTTGGAGGCCATTGCTAGTAGGTTGGAGGCCATGGCTCTTAGGTTGGAGGCCATCGCTCTTAGGTTGGAGGCCATTGCTCTTAGGACCACTCCTCCCAGCTGCCTTCCGAGCTCGAGACGAGTTTCTGGCGGAAGCTCGGCCAAACCACGACACTGCCAATTGCACAGCTACAGCTCAACTGAGAGTGCCTTTAGCAGCTTATGAAGTAGACATAAGTAAACATTGTGTGTAGATGTCACGAGTCGGACTTTTGAGCTGGTATGAGCTGGTGCCTTGAATGCTTCTGTTGAAGCCAATCCTAATTCAGCAATTGGTGAATGCCTTGAGTATGACAGAGACAGCCTCAAGTACACCCAGGCATTGACATTTTTGATTCTACAGCTTTTCAGTGTCTTCGTTAAACCTACCTACATACAACCACGGACTTTGTGTGGTAGACACTGTGCGAATCAATAGAAGTGGAATCAAAAGGTTGTTTACTTGAGATCCTTCTGCGCAATGGAACGCAGCGTGGAACCTGCAAATTCTGATGACATCAGGTGCTTTGGGCAGACGACGGAGTTCGCTTGCGGCGTGCCCTCAATGGGTTGCTGGAGCGTGCCTATGCCAAGCGGCAGGCACAATTCAATTGGCCTGGATCTGTGACTTTGTTGTCATTTGCCGCCTTTCTTGTTGAAAAGCACCCCAAACCATTGATATGTTTCGTACCCGGTACCCTTTCAGAAACATTGGAGAGGCTTGCGCAGTTTTGTGCTCTTGGGCAACCCGGACTTTGTAAAATTAACCTTTCTCCTAGTAGTAAACTAGCTACTAATAGCGATGCCCTTGTTACCAGTAGCGATGCCCTTTACTACTAGTAGCTTCTTGCTTCTACTAGTAAGGCCAGGAGCTACTAGTAGCTTCCTGCTCCTAGTAGAAATGCCCTCTGTTGCTACAGGTAGGAAACCTTCGGAAGGAAGACGAACCAGACTCTCATGTTCTGGAGGCCTGGGCAATGAACATTGAATGCAGTGACAAGCGAGTTGTTTCGGATGTGACAAGCGATGCACTTCTAGTGACTACTGTGAAGATCAGGGATTTTCAGAATTTGGCATGTCCACATCATGTCACACAGATGGTGATGATACAGATTGGGAGGTGATGATACCAGAAGTGGCATGTCGCCACCTCATTGGTGCTCGTGGTGACCGGATCAAACTGTTGCGGGAGGAGTCACGCTGTGAAGCACGTCTGCATCAGACAGTTTGGTGCGAGCTGGAGTGCAAATATGCATTCTCAACATTGTGAGGAATGAAAAAACATTCATATGTGTATATATAATGTATTTAATCTTGCTGCACTGCTGCTCCCACCACTGTCGTCCCTGGAATCTGGAACAACTTAGACGGCATTACACCGCTGCTTGCTTAGGAGATTCACATGTCACCTGGGAACGTGGCTGGCATCGCTGCCCAGCGGCGGGTCAAGTGCAATGGGCAGGGCGACCCAGCATTTTGTTCACGCTGACTCTACCACATAATATATGATCCTATACGATCATACATGCACACTCCACAAAGACACATTCTTTTGTGACATTCTTCATGAATCTGTTCTTCCATCCACCTCACATCATCCCTCATCCCGACCAAACTGGATTGCTTCTTACATCCTTTCAAGAACCCCACTTTGAGCCCTGGTCAGCGACTATACTTTGACATACGACTATTATAGTGACTACAGATGACTACAAATGGCTATAGTGACGAAGACAAAACCACAAAGTGACTAGTGACATCTAGTGACTATACTTGTCTCATCTTGTCTCCCTATGCATCCATAACCCTTCTAACGCCATCGGCGTCTCCTCTCCGCCATAGGCTGGTGCCCAGCCTCGCTGAAGCAGTCGCTCGCATCCATGAGGCGTGGACTGATGTTCACCACCTTAAAGGACTCGCGGACTCAATGCTTATGGTGAAGTGTCACCTTCCTTAAACGAGCCAACAAGAACACCCAAAGGAGCGACCTTTTGGATGCCACTGGCTCAGCGGACCAAAAAGTGTGCGTTTCTGCTTCACCAGTTCGTGCTTCTGTCTGAGATTTCGCACGCAGGTGCTGGTGGAGTTTGCGGAAATCGGCATTTTGAGCCTCCGCCACTTCGATCTTCAGGAGGTGTCGACCGGAGTGCAGGCAGGGTGCTTAAACAGAAGGACAGTTCATGAAGTGCTTGATCCATAGGACACTTGAGTTGGTACCAGTTGTGTTGGCCTGGTCCTTTTTGCAATAACTAATTGATATTTATTGACTAGCAGAAATGCATTTTCGGGAGGTGCAAGGTGTTGCTTACATTGCTAACCTGCAACATCCAACGCAGAAACGAAGGGAGAGAAAGCTTGACTGCTAGGAGACCAATGAAGGGCATGTCACCTCGCGATTCCTGGGGCCTGGCTTGGCTGGCATCTCTCGGAGGGAGGCAAGTGGTACACAGCTTATGCCATGCCAAGATATTGGAGTTGGATTTCAGACTGAAGCTCTTGCAGATAGCTTCAGAAATTCAACTGTAAAGCCTTTGATTAAAGACAATCGCCGAAACCTAGGACCCAGGAAGCCAATCTCAAATTACCAGGTTGTGTTCACCCTGAGTGAAACTGCCATTGTGTAGGCACGCAATGCGCGGATTGCTGTGCGGCAGCTGGTCTCTGCAGAGGTGAGGTGCAAGAGTCTTCAAAGTTGCAAAACGTACCTAAGCAGTAGCCACCTAGTGGCCCTTTGCCCTTTCTCTAGACTCTAGAGACAATATGAAGCTACTGTACTGAGCACTGTGTAACGCTGTTTGGGTTCCCCAAGTTAATGAGAATGCTTCTTCACAAACTTGAAGTGCAGGAATGCGGTTGGCTCATTGGCAAGCGTGGCAACAAGATCCACAAACTCCGGGAACCTGGGCAGAGAGTGGCATTGAATGGCATTGATGTCTAGCACAAAGTCGCACTCGTGGAGCCACAGAAGTCTGAAGAGTTTCAACAAGTTGAATCTCTGCCAGGAGCTTGCATTGGTGTCTACCCGGGAGGCTGATGCCGAGGTATGCAATGGTGGCCCACGATCTGTTGTGGCTTCTGGGTTGCAGCATGTATCACAGCTTCATCGAGCTAATGCGAGAAGAATTGGCAGGTTTTGGGCATTTGCATGTTTTTTTGTTTAAATGTTTTTTTTGTTGGGAAGCCGAGGAGATTTTTGGAGCTCCAATCGCCAAGTGCATTTGTGTGCTGCAGTTGATCGTGGATGACCTGGAGCTCTTCCCGGAAGTGTCCTGCTGGTAATGACTTACTTCAATTCGGTGGCAGTGTTGGGACGTAGTGGAAGTAGAAGTCTTAGTAGCTGGTGGCAGCAGCAGCAGGAGGAGGAGGAGGTCGTCGTCCTCGTCGTCGTCATCGTCATCGTCGTCGCAGTAGCAGTAGCAGTAGCAGTAGCAGTAGGAGTAGTAGTAGGAGTAGGAGTAGGAGTAGCAGTAGCAGTAGCAGTAGCAGTAGGAGTAGGAGTAGGAGTAGGAGTAGTAGTAGTAGTAGTAGTAGTAGGAGTAGTAGTAGTAGTAGTAGTAGGAGGAGTATCAGTAGCAGTAGCAGTAGCAGTAGCAGTAGCAGTAGCAGTAGCAGTA